ATATATGGTTTGAAATGGATATAAAAAATGACAAACTTAAACTTATTAACAGAAGTTCCCGCTTACGTCACAGGTCTCCTAAGACACTCGTAGTCTTGATTTGGAGGCAATGAGGTCAGCAATCTCTCTACTGTCACCAAAACCAACGCGACTTCGATTCATTACTGAGCAATCTGATAACAAATCTTCGCGCAGATTTTGCGCATGTTCAGAACTTCCTAAATAACATTTAGAGAATTTCCACGCCAACTCCAAACTGTATGCATGTTGTCTTTATAGACACACGACGGTCTTCATTGCGAATTTTCTCAGCCAGCTCTGTTGTTGCGACGTTTCTCCCCCTCCTACATCTCCATTGTCTCACACCTCATCGCTACGATCCTTGAACTCTCGACCAGCAAAAAAAAACAAAAAAAAAACAGGTGCTCGGCTCATACAAGTTAAGTCTGAATCCTTTCAGAAGTTTCTGTAGCGTTTTTTTTTTCCCAGTTGTACATAAAATTTTATTGCATAGCAAGCTTCTAAATTTTCTTTACATCCCGGCTTTACACAGCAAATTAATCAACTGTGACAAGCAGCCTTTAGTAGGGTGTGATCAAAGAGCAACCGTATCCTTCAATCTAGCATAACAAAAGTTGGCAGGTCCGCTTATTATATTATATGGCTAGTAATTATATCGTAAAATTATAATGATCTAGAAAAGTTATAGCTGCATTTTCTAAAAAAAAAAAAAAGGTTTAAACTTTTGGAATGCACCAAGTATGTAAACATTTGGTGTTCACTCTTTTGTTGTCCATTTTCAAGAACAAAGAAAACGTATAAATTCACTTTCATCATATGTATAAGTTTTATTACAATTCTAATCATCACTTTTTAAAACAATAAACATTGCTGAGGAGTGAAGGTAGTTAAAATAATAGCGGTGTCAAGGGAAAAGTCATCCTTTTGACACTCCGTTTATCGGCGGACACGAATGTCCAAGATTACTAAATATGGTTTAATCTACCATAAAATAAGAATATCGATACATAAAAAAGATTGTTTTAAGCTTGTAGGCAAACATTTTCTTAAATAACACTAATCCAATAAAATATTTATCGAAACACCTTAAGAAGTTGTTGTGTGAACATTGAACAAATCATAAAAATAAAACTGTACTAAATAATGAAAATGTAAAACACTGACAAAATATATAATTCTAGAAATAAAACTAACTGCTCATTAGTGGGAAAGTGTAGTGAGAAAAACATATTACACACGGCATGTGACAGCAGAGAAAAGCCTTGTGGGGAGGGGGACAATTTGCAGCAACTGTGATTTTTAATTTTTTTAAATTATATGCAAACCATTTACCACCATTCAAATTCAAAATACATAGAAATAACCCCATGTTATCAAAATGTATATGGCAGTGAAAAATGAAAGCGAGACAACTATTAGCAGAGTGGGAAATAATAATAATAATAATAATAATAATAATAATAATAATAATAAAGTGCCTTCTTATTGATGTGGCAGTCCCTGCTGACTGTAATGTATCTTTGAAGATATTCAAAAAGTTGTCAAAATACAAGGACCTTGAAATAGAAATCTCGAAAATGTGGCATATGGGAACATCAACAATCCCTGTTGAAGTTGGAACCCTAGAACTGGTTGGAAAAGATTGTAGTAGATTAATTGAAGGGATTCCTGGAAGTCCATGCCTCAAGGAGATACAAAAAATTGTTCTGACAAGTACAGCCTACACTTTACGAAGGGCTTTATCTATGTCATTTTTTTTTTTTGTCAGTAGAAAGTGTCATGATGCCATTTCTAACCTTAGGTCCCTGGGCGGGACCCGGAAAGAAATGTGTAAACGCCAGAAATCAAAGAAAATAAAAATAATAATAATAATAATAAAGAGAAACTAGAATTGAAAGAAGCAATGAAAGCGCGAAGGAGAAATTGAAAATTATAGAATTTAAGAACGAGCTGTTATGGTCTTGGCAGTGCGTCGTAACATCCCCCGGCGCCGGTTTCATCTAGAGATCCTGTCGAACGACATCCCTCTAGTGGCTGCAGGTCTGCTGCGAAATTGTCTCCAGTTTGCAGATGGCGGATCGAAATGTTAGATGACTCCTGTAGAGTGGTCATCAGCTCGTCACAGAACGTGAACGATCCAACGAACACGACGCTGAGCGATTGTTCGGAGTTCCTCGTTGGGCACAAGATGGTCCTGTGTGCGCTGGAATCGAAGCTATGACGCGAGAGATAAGTGTTTTGATGAGAGGTCCATATATTAGCACAGAGAGGACGGCGGCATTGTAAACTCATAGGTAATGAGTAAATAAAATGTTATATAAATATAAAATATATATATATATATATATATATATATATATATATAAACTCGTGTTGATACATATTATTTTATTCAGAGTACTTCAGGGTGTTGTTTACTTCAAGAGAAATATTGTAGCGTTCATCATTTTGAAGGACAGAATTACTGTGTTCATTTGAGAGTTAAATTTTTTACTTGTGAAGTGAAGAACGCTGACTGAGTACGTGAGGAGGGGGCTAACGATTCAGAGGTGGAGGGACTAACTAAGGATGCTGTGTCGAGAGCTTTTAAAAAATAAGAATTAAAACTATATACTGTAAACATTTGTGCAGTATTCATAATCAATTTTAATAAGGCTTGGTTTAAATTTGTTAATATAGATAGATTCGAGAATTTTTGGTTTATGTTTATTATTTTCAAGAAAAAATATAGTCTACAAGTGCTGTACATATCATTCAAATGAAAACTCAGCCGTCGAGACAATGTTGTCGTAGTATCCATCATTTTCAAAAACAAAATTGCTGTGTTCAGCTGAGAGTTTTTTTTTTTCATTGAGTGAGGGTTGGCTAACGGTTCAAGGGAGGTAACTATATATGGTGTACCGAGAGTTTTTAAGAAATATGTATTAAAACTATTGATGCAAACCTTGATATTTTAAACTATCTACTGTACACATTTTAAAACATTTGTGCAGTATTCATAATTAATTTTATTAAGGTTTATTTTTTTTTAATATAGATAGCTTTGAGAATTATTCAATGAAACATGTCTTAATTAAAATATGCTGCCAAAATATAAACAATGTATGCACACACACACACACACACACACACACACATATATATATATATATATATATATATATATATATATATATATATATATAATGGACTTTCCTGTGGGTTTTGACGTATGAGGATCTAACAACTTAAACAATTGTTTCAGTTATGAAATTTTGTGCGATAATCTTAAGTGGCACTTAAGACCTGCTAGTTATTTACAATGGATAAAGAGTGAGGATTAAGATGAGATCACTGTTAGACTGGCTGACCTTTTAGATCTTGCTCTCTTGAAGATGATTCAGACTACAAGATTGAAAACTGCTGTGTCCACTGAAATACGTTGATCTCCATTCTACCCACCCCAAGGCTAAGCGTTCGATGGTGTTATGTGGTATATTAACAGCTGACAAGTTGCTCTTCAGCTTGTCTTTGTATCTTAGCTACATTCCTCTAGGCTTGATCTAACTGGCTGTACATTAGGATCTTTGGTATCCAGTCATCAGACATTCTCAAGGCATGACAAATCCATCGTAACTGAGACTGTATGAGAAAAGACTCGATTCCCCAATATTACACCTGTTAAACAGGTCTACATTAGATGTCCTATCTTGAAGCTTAACTCCACAGCTTTTATGATAAACATCCAGCTGGCGTATGGGTTACCTGGGTAAAATCCACGACTCTGAGCCTTACAAAAGGATGGCCTCGAATATATATATATATATATATATATATATATATATATATATATATATATATGTATATGTGTGTGGGTTGTGTGTGTGAGTGTGTGTGTGTGTGTGTAGGATTTTAGGCATTTAATTATATTTCATAAATGCAGGATAATATAAATATAACCATGTATACTATTAGTGCTATTATTGTATGCAAGAATGAAATATTTAAAATAGACAAAAAGAAACGTTAAAAGAATCAGAAGACAGAAACGACATGGAAGATTTTACAATGAAATGATCAACTACCAAAAATAATTTTAACATTGGTGTACACAATCTTTGCAATATAACTTACGCAACTGACACCGTGTTGATAGAAGACACAGGACTAAATCACCAAGAACCCCCTAGACAAGGTATTAAAGAAAACCGGAAATTATAAACTAAGGGGCAATTTTAGAAAGACAATGTGATTCTGTTAGCAAAAGGGGCAGACCCAGATAAGAGCTGCAAATTGGAGATGCCAAAATCAAGTAAGTACAGAAAATAACTGTGTAGTATTTAAACAGTCGGCGTAATATAGGGCACTGAAATTCAAAGGTGCATTGGAATAGTGAAAGTTTCCTTCCAAAAACTAAACAAAATATTAAGAAACAGGCAAATTTTCTTAGAAACAAAACAAAGAGTGCTAAGCTTCTATGTAACATCAATCCTTGTAAATCGCATTAAATGCTGAAGAATTTCCTCGCAGACGAAGAGGAAACAAAGCAACACGCGGTTCTATAGAAGGATGCGGAGAATACAATGGATGGAACATGTTTGTAACGAGGAGTTTTTAACTAAAAATGAAAACAAAAGGGACAGTTATACTGAGAAACAGAAGAAAACAGTTGAAATTTCTGGGACACGTTATATGGAAAGAAAGCTTGGAGAACTGGACACTCACAAGATATACTGAACGCAAGAGGAACAGGAGGACACATCGAGAAGACTACCTAACACACATTTGTATGTTGATGGCAGAAAAGAGAATGGAAGAGAAATAAAGAAGAGAAACATTGCTTAGCGCTACAAAAGATAGGAATTTGTGGAGAGCCATGATCACCGATATCGTGAAGGAACACGATACATTAAAGAAATTTGATTGCAGAGTGAGGTTTGACTATCTTGAAATTCCGAATTTTTATTGTCAGTGCTAAAGGCAAGGGTGAAATTTGGTTA